CAAGAACCCTGAATCAATTCTATTGAGAAACCAATGAATCGCCTTTCCAGCTGGATCAATCATTTAACCTAATGCGATTACACTGCAAAAAATATATATGAAGAGTTCAGATGCAAAAGCCTCTAAATGCCATTTGAAATTTTCTTCTTTAATGATGATTTTTATCAAACTTGTATATTTTATTTCATTAATTTAACTTAAATAACAATTAATAGGTAATTATCATTGCCATTTAAGTGAAATTACTGAACTTAAATATACAAGTTTGATAAAAATCATCATTAAAGAAGAAAATTTCAAATGGCATTTAGAGGCTTTTGCATCTGAACTCTTCATATATATATATATTTTCTTACTTAGTATTTTTGTCTCGCTTGCAGTCCAAATATCTAAAAATTTACTAAAGTAGTAAAATGCCATAAGATATTACTGTATGTCTTGTTTTCGGGGAAAAAAAATCTAAACAAAGTGAGTTTTTGCTTAAAACAAGTAACATTTACTGCCAATGGGGTAAGAAAAATAATCTTGTTTCCATTTGAACTAAGATCATTTTTCTGACCCCGTTGGCAGATAATTTTGAGATTTTTGGACTGGAAACAAGAATAAAATACTGAGTGAGAAAAGCATTTTTTGCAGTATAGGAAACGAAGACAGCAGACTGACCTGTCCACTGGCTTTGGTATTTTAGGCAGTAGCTATGTTTTGGGGCTAATTTATTTATTTATTGGCTTATCCAAATCCATCTATGACAAGTATAAGGCAAACAAAACTGATCCCAGACTTGTAATAAAGAGTAACATTTACCCCATATGTGACACGTTATGAGTGACCTGAGCGGACATGTCCATTAAGCATCTATTCTAAGATTAGGGTATACGAGACCTGAATGAATAATGGAGAGGGCCCTCCAGAAACTCGTCTCCTCAATGTCGTCATCTGACCAGAATCCAACCTAATGATTTCACACACACACACACACACACACACACACACACACACACACAGAGAGAGAAAGGATGTCATGCATGATTAATGATGGGCAGCTCCTTATCTTCATATAATTCAGCAGCACTCACATCTACAAATCCAATTCTGATGTCAATTTCAATCTAATAAGTAAAATTTAGATGAAGATGTCAAACCCAATATTTCATATGTAAAATGAATGGGCCAGTCAACTACCAATTAGTTGGTTATTATTGAGGTCCTCCTTTTTTATTTTAGTTAATATTATTATACAATTTTGGTGAAGCTTTAAAAGTGAATATTCTTTGCCTTACAATACACTTAAAGACAATAACCACCACACTTGATTTTCCCATGTTCATCAGTGATGGGGGAAATCACACAAAGTCTTCAAGGCAATAAAATATGACCTGTTTTAAGAAATCTGATTACCTTATGGCATATCGTACAATACATACATTATTGGAATCGCTAATTACTAACATCGTAAAACTGGGTCATTAGCATTTGCCGGAACTGCCTGTTCAGTATGTGGGATTTCCATGCAATCCAAATGTAACATTTGCTTACTAGCATGCTGCCCACGTCCAGATGGTAAGAGTTTGCAGTGCAGTCCAATAGGATCTGGATCACAAAGAGTTTCCCAGAGATCCCGTATAGGCCTATATCAGCTGCTCCCCACATTCTTAACCCAGTCATTTCATTTAGTTGTTGTCTGGCTTGAAATGATCACCTGTTTGGCACTCTATTCTTTAAAATGTCAACTTTCTAGAAGTACATCATAAAATAATCAAAAGTAATTATATTGCCTGGGCTATACTTAGTTTTGGATAAAGTGTGAGGCATCTTATTAAACTCATTTGTTTTCCTGTGGGCAACACTCGCTGAAGAAAAAAAAGCTAAATGGACATTGTTTTTGTGCTGTTAATATTAAATCATGTCAATTTTAAATTACCTGTGTAGAAATACAGCTGGTTACACACGACATTAATGACATTTTAAGAGTTGTACACGTCTCTCATGGCGAATCCTTGTAGAAAGCCGGGTGTCTCGTGAGTCGTGAGCTGCAAGCTCGCGTTGAATTTTGATAACGGCGGGAAACCTCTCAGTACTTTAATCAAGCACGTCCACTTTTTGGCCAACAGGGGGAGACATTTGTAAGGGTTTCAGTGATAATCATATACTGGCAAAGTTTTTTTTTTTTTTTTTTTTTTTTTTTTTTTGAGCAAATACAGCCTGTTATCATTTTGTGACCGTAGAATGTTTTTAGCACAAATGTAGCCTAGCATAAAATTATTTCTTATTTTTCATACAATTATGACACATTATCACACTACTGGCTGTCCTTCAGATAATATCTTATATTCAAATTTATATTAAAAAGAAAACAGATAAATAGGCTTGTATATAGTCAAACCCATGAGATTGACGGGGACAACCAATAGATGGAGCTAAATATCAAACATTCTGTGTCAAAGAGTTCAGAAAAGAAGAAAAAAAGTGGAAAAAGCAAGTAGTGGAAGTTTGCACCCAAGGACAATAGGATATATCCAACAACAACACAGACAGTAATAATAATTTGGCACACACCAAATATATATATATATATGGTAGACACAAAGTCTAACCAGTAGATGGCACTGTCATTACAATTGTCATACCTTGTGGTGTGTGCCAGTGTGTAGTCAATGATGATCGTGACTTACATCATTTCATGAATTTTCTAAAACAAATTGTGGGGAAACAATTCCACACAAGCTAATATTCGTGATCCACCCACGGTTTAAGCTTACTAAATTCCAGTTACACTGGCACCTGCAAAAACTGATCTGAGGCTGGATAATAGTTGCTTTAATGTTGCTATGATGGTTCAAAATACATTGGAAGCTGAAGATAAGATAAGCTAGATATGTGAAGCATTAATCTACCATCAGAGTTTCTGATTTCTCCTAATTCAACAGGAATCTGATAAATTGAAGGCCAAAAATCAACTTGAAGTTTGTGGAAAAAGAAACCGATTTCAGCAGTTATGCGGATATATGTTGAAGAAAGACTTTTGTGGAAAAAGTATGCGTATGTGTACCAAGGGTATTCTTTAAGAATCATTGTTGAAATAATAAACCAAAAATGAAAGCACACACTTGCAGAGCAGAAATGGCCACCCCAGCGGTCTTATCACATATAGGATAATAAAACTTTTACACAATATGCAATATAAGTCTTGGGTGTCTCCAGTAGGAAGTTTCAGCTCAAAATACCCCACAGATAATTTATCATACCATCTTGTAAATTCTTGGTTGCTGTTTTCATGCATGTCTCTTTAAATGCAAATGAGCTGCTGCTCCCCGCCCTGCTTTCCAGAAGAGGGCGGAGCCTTTTCAGCTCGTGCCTTGGATGCTGACACTCTGCCAAAAACTAAAACATCTGTTTGGCTTTGATTATCACCTGTACTGCTGTCATGTTCACGTGACATTGCAGCTCATCATCATCACGAAAGCACGCACCCAAAGCACGCGCACAGAAAGCTGGATGTCAGACAGAGCATCATGTGAGTATTAAACTAAGTTCTCTTTCAAGTCTTATTGTGCTTAAACTGTCAAATACACACAAGGTTATGTCAAAAACACACTAAACACCATCGGTTATGTCTTTGAACGGAAACAGCAGCAAGTAAGGCAATCTTAATAAGGCAGAGTCCATCAGCCGTACACATTTGTTAGAAAAGCTACAATCTGCAAATGACACTGTTTATGATTTTTTGGGATTAATAAAGAGGAGCGGGTGGATTTTTATCATTATGGTTGTGTACACACCCTTGACACACATTTAAGTTCAAAAAAGTGAATTTTGCATAACAGGTCCCCATTAATGACATTATGACAACTCTAATCTCATTGAATAAGACATAATAATACTTTGGATACAAATTAGATGGGATAAGGAAAGATTACTGAAATATGTAGGGCAATGGTCTGGAATGGAACAAACTTTGACACACTTGGTAAAATTCAGCTCATTGTTATTGAGAAATTAGTGAAAACTCAAGACCCCTTGGTTTCAGAGAGTATAGGCTACACTTTGCTCAGGCCACATTGATTTAGAGTTGAGATAAAAAATAAAATAAAAAAAATGGTTCACTTCTTCCACCTGATACTTTTCAAATTGCCACTGGCCTACTTCTCTAATGGCAGTTTTCACCACAACTGCGTTCAGCTAAATTGAGCCCAAACAACACTGCTGTTGTGAAACTGCCTGACTGCCTGGACTAGAGGGCAAACTTTCTCACACACAAACTGATTGTGACACAAAAGTTGGATTATAGAATAACACAAGCCCAAAGCAGTCAGTTCACTCTGTACTGACTTTGAATTTATGTGTTACATGACCTTAGAAATCTTAATATAAAGGCTGAAACGTGTGTAAACGTACATAAATGGTTCCTATATGAATTTTTGTACATAAATGCAATTCTTTTTATTATTATTGTTATTATTCAGACATTTGGAATTTATGAATCAAACATTTGATATTTAAGATATTATTATTAGTTAATATTATTAATTATAATATATTATATGAACATCAGGTTATTCATATATTTACAAACTATTAAATTCTACAATTATTATTATTATTATTAAAAATGTACAATTTATGAATCAAACATTTAATATTTTAGCATTTTTATTGCTAGTAGCACTTATTGTTATTATTATTAATTATATGTTATAATACATTATTCATACAGTATATAAATATATGCACTATATCTACAGTTATTTAGTTAATTATTGTTATCATAATAGAATATTAATTACTGAAAAGCTATTCATTGGTCATACTACTACTAATAATAACTTATAATATTAGTTAATAATACAAATTGTAATCTTTTTTATTTATCTATTCATTTTTAAATTGTTTTGGAGGATGAGCAGATATAAAAGCATCCGTGAACTCATGAAGATGATGAGTCAAAATTCTAATTTCAATTTCTGACCTTACTTGTGAATAGAAAATAATCAAACAAGCACTTTAATAAATATATTAATCATTTATTACTTCTCCTATTTGTACAAAAGGGGCATTTTTTTATTCTTAGTAAACTTTTTTCATTTCACATTGGTCGTGAACAACACAAGTACAGAGTCATATCAAGAATATAAAATAAATGGATATAAGTGAGATTTTTTTGAGGCACATTTTACGAATATTTTCCACTTAGAGGAAAATCTGGCATTTATACTGGTAAACAATACTGTTTAGTCCTCTAACACCACCAATCATGTGTCTTGATGCACAGGAAGTGATGCGATACAGGTTTACATTAACATGCACTGAACATACTGTAGTCATGTTTATACACGTAAACAAAAGAATTTGAACAGGTATGTAATGTATAAATACGAACTGCAAAATGGTTTAAAATCAATTAAGGTTTAATACTCTAGCAGTGTGAACAACTGTATTTCTTACATTTTTTTTTAAAGAAATAAATTGGAACTTTTGAGCCTACTTAGAAAATGACATTGAGATTTATAAGCCCATTGAATAGAACACATTCCTGAACAATGAGATACTGTACTACAACCTCTTCCTGATGGTGTTGTATGTAGAGCACAGGGCACTTTCAGTCCTACAATCACATTCAGCCTCAAGACACTGTGATACAATTATTTACATATGTAATCTACTGTACTATTAAAAAGTAAATTTTCCAATTTTTTAACTTGTCCTATGTAAGGTTAAGGGAATGTTGAAGCCAAAGAGGCAGACAATGGCGTAACCACAATTCTAGGATCAAAATATATGAAAACATGTCTCATTTTTATAATTTTGATAACATCTGACCAATAGGTGGCGCAGTCCTGAAAGTACCATAATGTCTCAATAGCCGTTTCCATCCAAAGTTGCGAATTTACCTCATGCGCCAAATTGGAATATCGCATAAAACATTTGCGAAAAAAACACGATTTCCATCCCATGTGCTCAAGAGAACAAAATCGTCACTTCCTGGATAATTGGCGCAAAATATCTGTAATAGAAGGTCAGAGCTAGAAGTTGCCTGGTGTTTGGGAAAGCAATCATGTGAGATGTTTCTGGGTAAGAATTAAACCAAGCCACTTTAATGACAGACTTTGGCATTTCAGAATAGGTAAACCAACATTTGAGATGCCGTGCAATGAAAATGGTCCATTGGTTAGTCCAGTTATCCAATCAGATCCACTATTGAGGCAAAGTCGCATGGGTTTTTTGTTGCGCGTTGAAGGATTTATGTGTTTCCATCATAGTTTATGCGCATGTCTTCCCATCTCATTCTCATGTCTTCTCATAGTGTCTGGCCAGATCTGTCTGGATTTCACATGTACCAGATGTGGCCCGAATCTGGGCCAACACTATGATGCTGTCTGGGAATTAAGTGCTTAATTAAGTCTTTAATGTGCATTTTTCGAATTTATGCACATCTGGCATTTTTTATGCTGCATTATCCCAAAATGATGGATGGAAACAGAGCTAATGATACAGTATGCATAGTTTCATTTCACAATCCAACAGCATTGCCAATTCCTAATTGTCTTTCCCCGACAGAGGGGTGGACTTTCCCATGCACCAAAAAATCAGCCCTGATTTCAATAAACAGGTTTTTGAAATGAAAATGGCATCTGAAACATCACTGTTGTCTTAAGAGCTTTACAAGACATTGTCGACCCAGGCTTGATAATTGGCCGAAATTTAAGATACTTAATAGTTAAAACATTGAGTATTACACTGTTTTAAACTGGCCTTCGAACCCAGTCCATTTGAGACTGACTTGCTTCATCAAATACTAATCTTTTTAAGATTTGAATGCAAAAGAAATTGTGAATATTGTCAATAGTGTAGCGATATATGAAGCACTGCCCACACGGAAGTCACGTTCAAGAAGTTTTGTGTTGGTCATTGAGGGAAATTCGTGAACACACTGAAATCTGTGTGGGGAGATGATTCACAAAAATGCGCAATTCCTGATTCGCAATTTCCCACAAAAATATGCAGAATAATGGTAAATGTGACCACACCTTGAGACCAATAGCACAGTAAAATAATAAAAAAAAATAACACATACAATCAACAAATTTCATACAGAATAAATGAAGCTGGCTATATCAATCATGCACCATTGAAATGACAATAAAGGAATGAAGAAATGTTGTGGCACATATTAAGACAGGCCAGGCTCAAAGTGGCATGTGTGACGTTAAACATCTCTAATATGTATTTAGAAATTTTACAAGTAAACTTTACATACAAACTTGTAATACATCCAGAAAAATCTTCCCTATTCTAATATGTACATTAATACATTTATACACATTTATTCTATATTTGCCACAACTGCTCTTGTTGCATCATGTTTATAGATGTGGTGACAAATCTCTATGAAGTCAAACAAACCAAATACAAACCCCTTCTAAAAACAATCCAACCTGTGTGCATTTGGAAAAGGCGCACGCGCTGCCGGTTCACCTCATAAGCTGAGTGTGGCCGAGACTCTTGTATTGTTGTCGGTCATAGGAGCAGCAAAGGAGATTCAGGAGGTGCTACTTCTCTTCCTGGTTCGGGGTTTCCTCAGTATCACCTCCTCCTCTTGATCGCTTTCACACTCTCTTTCGAACATGGCCACCGTGCGCCCTACGTAGCCCATCTTGGGTTTGTCCTGTAAATCCCGACAAAGATAATATGCAGTCGTAAAACGGTATTCGACAGATACCATCGTGACAGAGTATGTGATCTTGGGATCCAAGACACTAGAGAGTTGCTCTTGTGATTTAACAGGCCATATTATTACCTGGAGACTGCTGGAGCTACTGGAACCAGACAATTATCTTTATTGGAAATGTTTAACGAGTATAATTGAGCCAAGCTCATGCGATACCTGTGGTTTGGGGTGATCTTTCTTCATCATGCGTGTCAAGTGGTTGCAGAGGGCCACGATTCTGAAAGAAAGCTATTGGAGAACAGGGAGAAAATGTAATTACATTTTTGACTAATCACTATAGTTTAAAAGTTTTGGGTCAGTAAAGTACTTCAGTAAAGACATTTATGATGTTACAAAGGAGTTTCTAATCCAAATAAATGCTGTTCTTTCTTTTCAAACACTGAAGACTGAAGTAATGATGCTGAACATTCAGCTTTACCATCACTGGAATAAATTACATTTGAAAATTTTTTAAAATAAAAAACAGATATGTTAAATTTAAATGAAATATTTTACAATATTACTTTTTTGTACTGTATTTTTGATCAAATAAATGCAGCTTTGGTCAGCAGAAGAGAATTTTTTCAAAAACATAAAAAAAAAATATAGCTGCGAGCAGCAATTATCGGGGTTCAAGCGCTTTGAGGCCTTTAAGCACATGCGTAAAAAGGTATTATGTTTTAATTAGCAAGCCTGTAACCATCTCGATCATAGATGGAAAAGACCATTTACAGCCAATACAGGCAGTTTACATTAGGAAACAGATGGTTTTGAAGCTTTTTAACAGTTATCGAGGTTAAGTCAAAAACCTAGGAGTAGTTTGCGAAAGTTGGTTTTTAAATAATCTTCAATACTTAATGAATGATTTGATTGACATTGCCGATCCTAGAGGCAAAGTTGCTGAGAATGAGAAGTTCTACTATGCGGTACACTATCCTTTACGCACGTGAAAAATGCGAAGGCGTCCCCCGGTGGCCGATTTCTTTCGAATTCCACACAGGCCTCCGTGTTTCGATCGGCCTCTGTTTAACTTGTCTGATACCTACTTAATTGACCGCCGTCGGCTGCGTTTTTCAAGGTACACGAATGTCCTCAAAGTCAGTCTTAGCACCTTGGACGAAGACACTGCATACCAATTTTCAAGTCAATCAGATTTAGGGTTGTGTAGTTGTAGCCATTTTTATGTTTTTTTCCATGTTAGCACCAGTGGTCAGTCGCTGAGTTTTTTCCATGTTAGCACCAGTTTGGTGAAAATATCTCATTCCGTTCACAAGTTATAGCCAATTTAGTAAAAGTGGCTCCTCCCACTTCGAACACTACGAGCGATTTTGTACTTTTCACCCCTGTGTCTATATAGGTGGCGCTGTGGAAAGGTGGACCGTTTTTAAAAAGCACGCTGCAACTGCTACAGCAAATGCTGGCCAAGTATTTGAAGATTGAGCAACGAGCTCATTGGCTACTGACACAGCAGGAACCAATCAGCTGTGCCCTATAAAGAACAATGTGACCGCAAGCAGATTGAGTCAAGGACATATCAGCCTGCAAAATCTAGAGTTTCAGGACAGAACCTTGTATTTTTATACTGTGAAAGAAACCTCAAATAGGCCACTCCCCCCAATCCCCATTTCACTCCGAGGTGAGATATCCCAACAGCGTTGAACAAAAAGTGCAGAGACATACAGTATACTGTACATTTTTAAAAGAATTGGTAAAAATGTTTTGGTGAAACATACAGCACCATTTCCAGATCTAAAAGCATGTAAAACTCCTACCTGCCACCTCCTCCGAATATATTGTCTCCTGAAGTTCTCAAGGTTCACCACAGATTGTCGTCGAACCAGGGCTTGTCGCGGGTTTATAGGCTAAAGGAAAGACAATCACATTGCCGTTATCATTCAATATGCTGTAAGTCTTTGGATTTCCCTATTTTATCAACTACCAGGTGAAACATCTTAAGTCAGGCAGCCTCTCCACGCAATTTGGAAAAAAGTCTGTAGCACAAGCAATGATCTAAAAGTTCACTATTTTGGGTTAGGGGTTTGTTTAAATCGCTAGCCCAAAGTTTGAGCAATGGTAAAAGTGATGCCTTAGCAATTGCACATGACTGCACTAGTTCCAAGACATACACACCCCTGAGGGACTGAATACACTTCATCTCTCTCTATCCCACAATGCACCATGGCCAGCTGCAGGACTAATGCTCAGTGTGAGGTATTTAATCATCATTCCAGTGCTTTATTCAGTATAGAAAGAAATTACATCTGTCATGACATGCTAAAGAAAACATCCAAGTGCTGACATTCATACACAAATCAAAGGACATCACTTATTACAACCATGGCTTTTTAAATTAAATTAAAGTAGAAAGTAACAGGAATATACAATAAATTACATGTGCAAGAAAGAAAATGAAAAACTGGCAAGGAGAATGTAACGTTTCTACAAGTACTTAACATAGGTGCATTTACAAATAAATTAGAGAACTTAAAAATACTTATAAGATAAGAAAAACAAAGCAAGTAAAAATTTTGGGGACAAAGTCAAACGTATGGCCCCTGTAAACAACAGGAAAAACAACCCATGCATAAAGATGACAAAAGGAATGAAATCATAAAGGCTGACATCATCTCAACTGTTGGCTCTTGCTTAAAAAAAAAAGGAAATAATTGTTTTAAGGATGTTTGATCAGTATTGGACCATAAATAAAATAAAATAAAAACTTTAATACTGACAAAAACAATCATATTGGGGAATATGTTCAATTCAAAAGTATATTCTTGTATGCTGTAGTGTACCAACATGTGTATAACTTAAATATTATATATATATAATCTTAAGTATATACAAAACAAGAAAGTTACAAATAAACAGCAACAAACTGAATTTAAAATTGAGTGTTTTGCATGAAAAACTAACGTTTTGTTGAGATAATGATCTTTAATTGTTAGTTTAAAAGTCTTGTGATATAAACCTTGTCAAGCCTGGCTCATGAATAATAATAATAATAAGGTGACAATATTCGGTGCGTTATTCGAACTGGGAACTTGATCCTTGTACATTCATCCATTTCACTGCCAAACCTTATTTTGCTTGGTCTACTTAAAGTACTTTTTGTTTCACAAAAACTAAACACTTGAAATATAATTATATTCCAAAAAGTGCAGGACAGGTAAGGAATTTCATAAAGTAGACAATACATGCCATCCAGAATAGTCCTTAGATGTTTTAAACCATATTAGCCTAGCTCATGAATATTAAATAGGTCACCCAAAAATGTATATTCTGTCATAATTTACTTATAGCTTCATGTCATTTAAAATCTGTATGACTTTCTTTCTTCTGTGGAATACATAAAAATATATTTTGAAGAAAATTGGTAGCCAAGCATTTTTGGTAACCAGTGACTTTTATTGTATGGACCAAAAACTCTCAAAATTTTGTGTTCCACCCAAGAAAGTCATACTGGTTTGGAACAACATGGGGGTGAGTAAATCATGACAAAATTACATCTTTAAAATATTACATGCGTGGGGACAAACTTTTTCTTTCACATTCTTTACATTTCTTTCACAGTGGTTGCGACTCCCCCATCTACGCCACTGATTACACATCCTGCAACTCTCCTAATCCCAGTGTATAACAACTGCAGTCTAATCTCTTTTAACTAGACTCAGAGATGTCGGGTTGTGCTCGAGGACATAGTTCGCCCCCACAGGCCCTGCTCAACAGCTCCTTCAGGGCCTTGTTCACCTCATTGTTGAGTGCTGAGTTAGAACCCAAGCCCCTGTTCCCTGCCTCTCCGTTTAGTGAACCCATAACCTCCTGCAACCAGCGTAGTTCTGCGTTCAGCTCCTGTCTGAGGCAGCTCAGGTGCTCTTCTCTAGTCAGGTATCTTCTGTCAATGGTGGCTAAGTTGGCATCGGTTGTCCTCAAGTCCTCCTGGAGGCCTTTCTTCAACGCCTCCACTTTGCGGAACTCATAGCGCACCTGCGAGATCTCCTGCCGGATGGTCTCACTTTCCTCTTTATACCAAGTTTCCTTCTTGCAGTAGATGGAAAGAAGAGCCTCAATGTCGTCCTGAAGGGATTCACGCTTCTGAGCCACATTTTCGAGACCCATTTCCACCAATGTGATGTCCTCCAGAACGTTGGCGAAACGCTCAAAGTTGACATAGGTGTTGTTGGGTGGCATGCTGGAGTGGGATTGAATGGTGTACTCTTTCAGGCGTTTGGTCTTCAGCTGCGATTCCACTTCCTCTTGCGCCTCTAAGCTGGCGCTGCTGTCCTCCGGCAGTTCGCGGGTCTTCGCATAGAGAAATTAGGAGGAAGAATAAGTAAGAAACTAGTTCGCTTTTTCACCAGGGAGTCAAAGCAGTCAACTCACGCAGCAGACCCGGGCAAGAAGACGGATCTTGGATCAAAGGGATGGTGATGTTAGGATGAGGAGAACAGCATGGCACACACTGGATTGAGTCGGATCTACAGTCCAATCATTGATTAGAAGAATTCATCGACATGCGATTGCTTCCATGATGAAGACTTGCATGCATACGTGCATCTAGTAGTTGGCCAACAACGTAATACCAGGATACCTGGATAGTTCTCCCAAAAATGAAAGTCGGCATCGTTTACGTCATCATTCATGTCGTTCCATATTTTTAAAGGATTTTTGAGGTCCAAAACGACATTGGACCCACTGACTAAAAGATTCAAAACAAAGATTCTTCTGAATTCGAATACAGAAGAAATTAAGCCAAACTGATTTGGAACGGCATGAGTGTGAGTAAATGATGACAGAATGCTCTTTATTAGTTGAACTATCACTTCAATTGCGCAATGCAAAGCGTGGCATGTGTGATATAGCACGTTTACAGTACGTTTGTCATATGTTTCGTTGTTAATGATGTGCATACAACCCCGGTCAGTTCACTCTAAACGACAGAGCAAAGTTCAACACTCGCATATGTGATAATGCCAGTAGGAAGTTCTCATTTCACATTTGCAGCACAAGAGTAGATAAATATGCTTTCAATTGTGCATGTTTCAGACATAATGCAAGTTGTTACCTTAATCCATGGGTGGTTGAGTGCATCTTGTATCTTAAGCCTCTTTCTGCAAAGAAAACAAAAGAAAACTGAAGGTAAACGCGAAAGAACAACTTAAAGAGAGAAAAAAAGAAAAGAAGTCAAGTCTTAGTAGAAAACGTAATAGTGCTTTACAATACAATAAAAATAAATCTGAATTCAAGAGAGAAAAGGAGTAGAAAAAAGACAGAAATGGAGGTAAAAATCAAAATCAATCTATCAGTATACATAATGTAGAACACCAGCTGTTAAAAATACATACTGTACACAGCATCTCTCGAACGCTAGAGAATAAAAGTACGTCTTTAACCTGTATTTAAAAGTCTCTGATGTTCAAAGGTAGACTGTTCCAGAGCTTTGGGGTAACTAAAGAGCCTTTGTTTTACAACGAGAATGTGGAAACGATAAAAGTAACTGATCACAAGATCTTAGTGACCTAGAGGCTGTGTATAGCCTATAATAAGATCACAAATATAATCCGGGGCCGATTTGTGCAGTTCCTTGTATGTGAAAAAAAAAAGGATCTTTAAGTCGGCTCTAAATTTCATTGGTAGCCAATGCAATGAGGCAAGCACAGGGGAGACATGATCCCTTTTATTGGTTCCTGTTAACTATCTGGCTGCTGAATTTTGAACCATCTGTGACTGAGACAGTGTAGATTGAGGTAGGCCAACGTACAGAGAGTTACAGTAATCCAATATAGAGGAAATAGGTGGATAAGCATGAATCAAAATTCAAATCAAAGTCAAGGTCTGTACTAGAAAGAAAGTGTTTCACTTATGCTACAGTTCTGAGTTGAAAGAACAACTACATGCTTGTCAAATTGAAGAAGAGGATCAAAATAGACTCTAAGATTTTTTGCAAGATTGTGTAGATTGTTAGTTAAGGTAGCAGCAGTCCCGAGTAAAAGCACTTCGGTTTTGTTTTCATTCAGTTATTTGTCATCCACGTCTTGACTTCATTGAGGCATGCAAAGAGATGATCTAATGAAAAGTAATTTCCTGGTTTGATTGGAAAATATAGTTGGAGGTCGTCAGTGTAACAATGATAATTTATGTTATGTTTCTGCGATATCAAGCCTAAGGAAAAATGTAGAGGGAAAACAAACGAGGGTCAAGAATAGATCCCCAGGTGCAGAGGGTGAAATGACCTGATATTTACAGAGAAGGTCCTCCCCTCTAAGTATGAGGCGAACCACTGTAAAGCTAGGCCCTGGACTCCAACGGCACACTCAAGTCATTTCAAGTGGAGTTGAAAGTTTCAACCAGTTGTTCGGTGAATAAGAATTCAACAGCAGTAGTAGCATGAAAGGCACAAAAGTAATGTACATGCTGAGAAAGGATAGGCTGATTATATGAAATAACAAGCTCAAATCTGATCAGAAGTGCCAGCATCCAATACTTCACAGATATGTACAGAGAAACCACAAGACAAAACAAGGTCCAGTGTATGGCCTACATTACGTGTAGGGCTGGAGTCCGACTGTACAAAATGAAGTCCATAAGGTCACTTTGACTCAAAGCAAGTCTATTTAGCCGTAGTAAACACAAGATCTGTAGGCAGCCACCATGGAATATAATACATCATTAGGCATAATTTAACATTAACCTGACAGTAATGAAAATGACAAGCTCAAACTTACTAAACGTGTTACTTCTAAATGCTATTAATGACAATTAAAATTTAAAATTAGTTAAAATTAGCATGTTTACGCATGTTATATAGATTCTTTTTTTACTTGAGAGACTAGTAAAAACACTGTTGCATAAATATATTCAAAGACAACCTTAACTACAAAAATATTAGATTTAATCACAAAAAGTTTGATTGACAGCCCTTCTAAAAAAAAGAGAGAGAAAACAATTTTCCAAAAAAGCCTTCACACTGAAGCCTTTACTGTAAGTTGTTTCTCTTCGTGGCTGAACCGTGATTTGAACTCTCACCTTGTATCTTTCACCAGCAGCTCTCTGATGAAGCTTTTGGCCAGTTCACTTGTGTTGCCGAAGAACTCCTCATCAAATTCATAGTTAACAGCTGATATGTTCGCAAGAGTTTCCTGTTTGGAGTCGCCCAGGAATGGCGAAGCCCCGCTTAATCTGAAAAAGAAAGACAAATGCTTGACCGAAAATTCCGGTTAATTAGTTGCTGAAAGTGATCCGACTGAAAGTGTAATCCAAACACATGCACGAGTTTACGCATCAGACAGCTGTTAAGTGCTGTAATTATGTTCACAATGGTGATGGGTGGAACAGTTTGGGTGTAGCTGTCTGATGGCCCAAGGCTAAACCTCTCATTCATTATTCACTTTTCTGGTATATCAATATATTTGTTTACCTCCATCATTCTCAATCAATATGAGCTTGTGAATATATGACAATTCACATGGGCATGGGTGTAACATCATATGTGAAATGTGAAAGGTCCATTATGAGAACCTCTCATTCATTATTCATTGATGTGGTTCATCAATACATCTGTTCAGCACGTGACCTGTTAATTCTATCTGTATGGAACTCCATGGAATCTGTCTATCATTCTGTGGAATGTCTAGATGTCATTCTCCCATTCATACTCACAGGATGTATGTGATGACTCCGATGGTCCTGGAGGAAACAGAGGGACGGAAGAGAGCACATGGTTAAGCCATAGCCAAGCTTTGACGCTTGCTGTTTGTTAAGAACAAAGCGTGATCTGCTAAAAAAAGTTCTCACCACATGTCAGCCTCTAATCCCAGCTGCTCATAGTTGACTATCTCTGGAGCTGAAAATAAACCAGGTTGGAGGCATTAGCCACATTTGATTCAAAACAACAATGTAAGATGTCCAAAGATGGTAGAGAATTTCAGACGCATCTGACCCATCAGTGTCATCCAAGACGATGAATCACTAACTTAGCATTTTACATCATGAATTTTTGAACTTACCAACAAATTCTGGAGTCCCAAAAATGTTTTTGAATTCTACTCCGTCTTTGATCCTATGCGCCAAACCAAAGTCGATAAGCTTGATCCGTGGCAGTTGGATGTTGTTATCCAGCAGCATGATGTTCTCAGGCTGAAAAGCAATTAAATTAGCCATTAAAACCAATAAAAGTCACCCAAACAAAGTCAAAAACTTCAATATATTGGCAGCTATGTTTCCATTGACATTATGGGTGTCACTGTCTGACCGTTCAATGCTGACCCTGTCATTCATTATTCAGTTTGTTTTACAATATTATAATTTTACATGATCAATAAAGAAGAAAATAATATCTCAATTTTAAAATCAAGTGGGAAACATTTGTCTTCAGTTCTCAGAGAGAGAGCATTTTAATTGAAAAAGAAGTGAAACTGGAACATCTTGAGTTCACAAAGCACATAACCTGATAGCTAATATTGAAGACGAGTCTTGCTAACCTTTCTAAGCCTTTCTACAGGCTAGTTTAGCGCATGTTTTCGTATCATTCATGACTATGAAAACAACAGTGCAGTTACACAAGCTTTCCATTTTCAAGTCCATAAATGGTATTTGTCGTGTGTGTACGGCTAATCAGCATTAACCTCCACCTCAGCAGTTTGCATGCTGATGAAGTGGCTGAATGCTTCATGTTATTCTGAGGGACGCTGCGTGGGACTCAACACCTGTTATGTTCCCGTAATACATCTACGCACCCAAGAGGTGAAAAGAGGCATCCAGCTGACTTCAAGTGCGGAGGAGGACTACACTATGTTCCCTCAGGAATTGTGCCATGTTTAGGATGTACAAACTCTTTGGGAGTTATGCTAAGCTAAGCTAACATACAGTTACCTAATTAGTCTCTGGCTACTTCCGAATGATCTGATTTTAGCTATTAGCTAAAATAACACTTTCTATTTGTTGCAATTTTGCACTTTTGACAAACAGTCTGAGATATTTGAGTGTTGTGTGTAGTAAAACAATACTCTTTGAAATCATAATTGTATTGCATTGTTTTAAACACAAAATATTTTTCTTAAAACATTCCTCAGACACTTATTTAGTTACTTATAATATACGTTGTTCAAAAAGCAAAAGTAGTTGTAAATGTAGCTAGCTACTTTTTGATAGTAACTTGTAGTGGAACTGTAGTTTGACTGTAGTTTAACTACTGTAACTTGTGAGTAGCTTGTAGCTTGTCAAACTACAGTTTCAGAGTAGCTTCCCCAACACTGAATGCGGGACATTATCTCAATATGCGATGTGCGGGACAGGGGTGAAAATGCGGGACAAGTGGGTGTCAGAAAAGTAAAGTTACGTAGCATTTGCATCCCAGAGTAACCAGGATAATCTAATTTCCTAAAAGCGCCATCTACTGTCAGAGAGTGAATCTGCATTTTCATTCAGACCAACTGATCGGTTTTACACATCGGTCTGAACAGGCCTTTATGCTAAGCGATACCCAGTGATCTACTGTAATTAGTCACTGGCTACTTCCTAAATCTCTAAATTTTGCTGCAAACTAAATTAGCTATTTTTATTGCCATTCTTTTGTGAGAATTGCGCGGAATGGCATATTTTGTTTGCATAGCAGTTAGCATGTGTGACTGGAGCAAGAGAGGGAGTTTGCCATCTTAATATCTTTTGAGTGTCTCTGTCTGCCCTTGTAGAGTTTAAGCATGTGCTGGTGACTGTGGAGACGTAGCACTTAGAAAAACAGGATGGAGATTATCGCAGGGAACAGCGTGGGTGACATGTCTTATGAAGTGCCGCTGATAACCTCGCTGTGTTAGAATATCTGGATCTGGGCCAGGCTGGACGAGGACCACATGTGAATGGGGTTCAAACACACGTACGCTCTCGGTCCATGATGGGATGATGTATGACAGTGATTAGTTAGAGCTGTCATTAGCAGAGGAAGTTGTTTATAAGCTAAAATGGTGAAAGGAAGGAATTTCCAGACAGTTGACAGAAATGGGGTCATGTGTGCATTCCCAAGAAACAGTACAATAGCAGGTCTTAGAAAAGAGAATAGCTATTTTGTCATGCAAAGTTTCAGGTGTTGCCATGCAACAGACCCGATTGTTTTCAGTAAAGGCCAATTCACCTCTGCTTGAGGAGGAGTTATACTGTTGCCATGGCAACCATTATAGCTATTTCTCGCCTCCACCACCAAGCCATTTATAGGAAACTATACAACCGATTTAAGATCGCCGTGGACAAAACTTGTTTTGTACCTTCAGGTCAAAATGTGAAATTTTCTTGGAGTGCAGGTACTGAACTCCATTGAGAATCTGTTTGATGAATTCTGTGGCTTCCTCTTCACTCAGCGACTCCTTCTGAGCCAGGAAGTCGAAGAGCTCACCTCCTGAAACACTGAGGAAAAAAGAGTCAGGTGGTTAGAAGTGGGTTACCAACATACCATGCTAACCAGAGTGACAGACATTCAAAGTTGCATCCTCAAACAAGCCCGGCAAACATAAGAAGCTGTCTGTCTGTCTGTCCGTCCATCCATCCATGCATCCATCCATTGTTAAAACAATTTATAAGTCTAAACAAAAATAACTGAGTATAAACTGAGAACCGCTTTTGACTTGCTTGGTTGGGGACACTTTATATTCAACAATATTATTGATCTGACTGCATTGACACCATCATATGAAAAGGGGCTATGACATCCCTGCTTTCTCCAGAATGGCTATATATGTATATATTTAAATGAACTAAATTAATAACCAACAAAAAATAACTATCACTGAACTAACTTAAACTGGACTATGACGCTATTTTCTGATGTACAGCCGGCCCGAAACAAACTTGGTTGCGTTATTATCCTGTTATCACTGTGTAAAGCTGCTTTGAAACAATCTTTTAAAAGGCGCTATACAAAAAAAAAGACTTGACTTGACACACCAAGTACAGTTTATCTCACACACATACAGAGATGTTCATCTAAATAAAATACTAGACTAGTAAACTTCCTCTGTGACAGTTAACCACAGCAGAGCTTAAACAGCTTAGCACAGCCCTTTTTATCACTAACATCAAACCACTTTATCATAGCTCTGCAGAAATGTCTTTCCCAAACACTTTTATATGGTAGTATATCAGCTTAGCTGAATTTGAACACTACAAGTCCTGATCAGTGCACCCAGAACGATGCTCTTTACTAAAAATGCAGAGCAGCAGACTGTCACAGACAGTCCATTCAACAACCGTTCAGATTGGATTCAGGCCACAATTAGTCCTAATTGAGCTTCCACGCTCCCATGCACATATCCAAGGCAGTGAAAACCTGAGCCGGGCCTCCCAGAAACCCTAGAGCTCTGACATTTACTACAGCTTCCCCTACACATTCAGAGAATGATAAACACACTGGCCTTTAGACCAGGAGATACATAGTGTGGTAAATAGTTATTTTTAAAAGGGCGTAAGGGAATAGTCAACAATGCTTACTAATGTTAATATTGTATTTGAGTATGTAAACAATTGTTTGCCAGTTTTGGGACATAGCCTTTTACCAATTTATATATATATATATATATATATATATAGTGATTTAATAATTATTTTGCAAACAGTCAAACCAAAAATTCCAGCAGATTTAATTTAAAAAAAATTTACTAGTGGGTACACAAGTAAATAAGTAAATTGTGACATATTATACCCCAAAATTCTTCATACAGTGGACTACTGGTAATTTTTTTAAAATACAATTTGGGACCAAATATTATTATTCAGAAACTTTGACTTTTTTTTTCATTAATTTTGACATTTTTTACACCACAGACTGACCAAAATTAGGCATTACTTGGTAATTGGTTGACCTAAATTGGTTATTCAACCAAAACCAGTGAAATATCAACTGATTTGATAACTCTAGTCAATACTTGTCATATTTTATTACCATTTTCTAAACTATAGTGAATAAACTGTGATAATGTGAGAAATGTTAAAGATGTCACATTTTGGTTTGACTACAGTATGTATGCAAGTTATATATCTACATATATTAACTAAGATATAATATATAAGTTTTACGATTTCACGATTGTGTGAATATTTTTTTTATAAATATATCTAAATCCCTTGTAACTTAAATTTAATGTTCACTTCATACATTTAAAAATGCGTAGGATGGTCGTTTAAATTCCTCGTCTTCCATAGTGCAAAGGGTCATGGGTAATATTAGACAAAAAAGCATAAAATATTATCCAAACATATAAGCCAAACTGATGCACTGATGAAAATCCAATGGAAATACATACAGTACTATGCCATCTTTGCACCTTTGGCATAATATTTTAAATACACAATGATTTGGGACACACCAATCCAAATGTCTCATACTGTACTGTGTAGAATATGTAGAATGGGATGCAAACTACATCAAGCAGCCAATGTTTTTGCAGACTAATTTACTGATTCATGACTCAGTGAATCAAGTCTTTGTTGATTAAAATGGTACTTGAAGCAGCTGTTATAGCTCAGGACTAGATGGTAAGCGTTCTTTCGAGAAAGCCTAAAGAGACTAAAGTTAAATAAGCGAGTAAGATAAATTATGAGCTCTTGGATGAGGGCGGCAGGCATTAGTCAACTAAAGAGGAATGTCATTTGAGGACAGGCACTTGAAATCAATTCATTTGAAAGTACAACCCTGTTTGTTAGACACAAATGGCATTTAAATTCAGCTAATATTTTGCTGGATTTTTCAGTGTGAAGTAACAAAACACCCTTCTGAATTCTAAGAATCAGAGAAAAGATGAAAATGGTCATGTACAACTAAGGATGTGTCTGAAAGCTCATTATACCACATCCTGTCTATTGAAATACCTTGATCTGATAGATTTCTGAGGGCAGCATAGATGTACAGTATCTTCACTGCCTTTGATATACCATAATCCTGTGCTTTCCATTCTCTGACAGTTGAGCTACAACATAAATATAGCATCTGAAAGTTGCTGTTGGTGGTCGGTTTTTTTTAATGTTTTCCACTTTTGATGTAATTTCTAGTGAGCCATTAGTATTGCAGTAATTAAATATTTGCTTTTTACATTTGCTTGCTATTTAGTCGAAGATCATTAAATCGTTATGCTGCCTCAAAAATCAGTCCGGAATCAGTTTTGTGAGGTACTGCCTGCAAAGTCGAAGGACAATGAGGTAACAAGTCAGCTGCCTAATCTTTTGGACGCAACTTAGGCCCTGTTTACACCTGGTATTAAGATGCGATTTCGATTTGGTCAATCAAATCACAGGTAAGAGGGAAACACATACACGTGTTTACACATACCTGGTGTTTCAATCTAGTTTCAACCACTTCTGCCCTGATTTCTCAATGAGTGAGTAAATGTATGGGTTTTTCCAGATCTTTCGATCTAATGGACAAAATATTTACATATGAACGTACCCGGAGATGACGGAAAAAACATACGGAGAGCATCAGCTTTTGTTTCTGCTCTGAGAGCCACAAGACCATGCCGAACGCTGCGAGTGTGTGTTAGAAATCAGGAATAGTGACAGAACATTGTGCTTTTTTTCACCTTCAACCCAAACTTGGGTCTCCAGCCAAAGTTTAATAAATAAAACGATAAAAGGGATTTGGATATGGCCCCTATATGGAAGAGCTTTACAGTGAGGACGGCTGTGCTGGTGGGTAATTGTAGCTCCTCACAAACAGCGTGGGAGGACGTGTTCTCACTTACAGCTCCAGGATGAGCACCACGTCAGTGCGATTCTCGTAAACGTCATGCAGCGAGATGATGTTGGGGTGTTGGAGATCCTGGAGGATGTCCACTTCTCTCTCGATATCCTCTCGCCGAACACCTCTCCGGCTCGCCCGACTCTGACGCTTTTTTATGAACTTTGCAGCGTATTCCACACCAGTACTCTTCTCCTTACAGCGCTTCACAATAGCAAACTGCCCACTGGGTAAAAGAAAGGGAGAGAGAGAGAGAGCATTTAGTTCTTCTGCATAATAAGCCAGATGATGAATGATCTGAGTAATCACTTCACGTCAATCTCCTCAGGATATGGTTAATAATGCAATAGCACAAAAACTGCCACATTATATCTGTCAGTTTTTTAAGATTAAAACATTCCAAGGGATTGTTAAAACATTTAAAATTTTCTTTAAAAAAAAAGGGGGTTAAGAAAGTAATCAACAACAAAATTAACTAATTAATTTGAAAATTAATTAATCACGAAAAAAACTGGAACAAAACCACTCATTTATGTAAAGTGACACTGTACCCACACCAGCAGATTTAGTTTCAGTAAAAGGCAGCACTTAATTATTTTATCCCTTGAATTTATCAGTGTTGCCAACTATTTTAAATGCAAATTAGCTTAAAAAAAAAAGTCGTTGAATGTCACTAGATGACGTAATGTCAACTGTCAGCACTTAACATTTGTTTTCTCTCCTCCGTGCTCACATATTTTAATAATGCCTGATAAAGCTGTTCTCCTTTACATATTTTCTGACAGACAACGGAACAAGTATTATATAGTGACTGACTAAATATCAACCAGCAGCCCAAAAAGACACTAGATTTGTTGCTATTTGCTATTTTTCAAAAAAAAGTTGCTAAAGGGGCGTGAATGGTTGCTAATCTACCGACAAAGTTGATAAATTGGAAACACTGCATGAAATGTGAGGGGACGGAGTTGGTGCTTCCACATCATTATGATTGGCTGATCACATGATATAACTGAATGCAAATCAAAAAGGTCAAACGTTCACGAAAAGAACAGACTAAGGCTGCATCCGAGTCGAGATCGCATACTCCTTTGAGTACATATATATATTGCTTAATATATAATGAAACAAGCAATTACTTCATGACCACTAAAAAGCATGTTATAGTACGAATGTTTGTAGTATGAATGTAATCCAGACATATTTCTTTTGTCAAATAGGGAAGTAAAAATTTTTGGATGAAGCCAACTTTTGGCACTAATTTGTGACCTTCTGGTATATCTGAATCACCATCAAATTAAAAAGCAAATCTTTATCTGTAAGTTGGGTTTTTTAAGCACCACACAATTTGGTTAAATTCAAATGTTCGCCTTTGTGGTATAAACATAAACATATTATAATATTGGTTTATTATTAGCCCCAAGTTAAAATGCTGTTCTATATGAATTTATACTGGTCTAAAACAACCAAACTTTTACCTCCATTGCAAAAGTCGACCACATGCCACTGAGACATTCCTGGGAATATGCTTAATTTCCTTAAGTGTAAACAGAAACGCTTGAAATGACTCTGGCAACAGAATTAGAAACAACAGAAAATACTCAACTGGAGCCAAATTAGTGTCAGTCTAATAATAATCTCTATAAACTCTATTTAGCTGCATCACATGCGACATATAGCACCACATTTTCCAGTGTAACAACAGAGACTCTTTTGCAAGAGTTACTGACATCACAAAGTACATTAACATATGACCGCCCACGTTTGGTATTCTTTCCTCTTAGCCTGTGAAACCCACTGGGTTTGCGCTGTTGTACTGAACATTCAGTTATGTGTTGGATCCTTAATGCGCAGATATGTCTGCAAGGATATGCTCTCTATAGAGTCTCAGAATGTTTCTTACATCGCAAGAGCCTAAGAGGAAATCCTGCTTCAGGGAAGCGCGCTCCAACTGGGGTCATGGTGTGGGAGGAAAACGCTCTCAGAGAAAAGAAAGACACAGAGAAGAGGAATGCCACCCACCCACCGCTTCTGTGTCAAATACGCTTTTGCTATCTCACACAAGCTTTGAACATTTCAAACAATATCTCCCCAGTCCCGACAGATGAAATATGTCTGTTATCTATTGGTTTGTGTGGACTGCGGGCAGAAAAGATCAATTAAAGGATGCACCAATACTACTGTGATAATGATTCCAGATTTAGAAACACCCAGGAAAAAAGTAGTTAGTTATTAAAGAATGTTGTATAATAGAAAACAGACCCTTTATTTCTCCTGTGTTTGATTTTTCACATTCTGGAGACATACTCAAATAAGCATAATAGGCATGTCATGATCCTTCAGAAATTATTCTAATATGCTGCTTTGCTGTTAAAGAAAACATTTTTTGTGGAAACTATAATACATTTTTTTTCATTAAATTGTGATTGACATTTTAAATGAAGTGTTTATATGTGAAGTAGAAATCTTTTGTAACATTATAAATGTCTTTACTGTGACTTTTGATCAATGTAGTGCGTATTTGCTGAATAAAAGTGTGACTCTTTTTTTATCTCAATTGAAAAATCATCACTGAGAATGATGGGAATTAAAAAACTGCTCAAAAGTAAAATGTTCGGATGCATTAAGCAAATGAGTATTTGACAGGAACAAAATGTCATGAAAATTTCTTACTCAAAACGTTTGTATGATGCACTGTAAAATAAATTTGCTCAATTTTTTTTTGGTACAGTCAACTTGGATATTTAAGTCATTTCAACTTAAATCACATTAAATGAGATTAATCTTGTATGACTTATAAAAGTTGAACGAAAATTTGTATGAGTTAAAGCAATGTAAAACATATGTTGTTATAACTTATTGATCATTTTTTCACTCCACACTGTATTTAGCAACTTGGCGGGTCTGATTAACCAGTCATAACAGAGGTCATTTACATATAGAAATAGCAGCAAAAACATCAGAGAGGGGGACATACATCATGTATGAGATGTTCATGCATTTCGGTGGACGGAGCAAAGAAGAGGGTTGTGTTTATTTGGGTTGATTAATCAGAAAACAAAAATGGACTCCAGATGCACATGGAAGGGCACAGCACATGACGTGAGCCGATTTAGGAAGTGTCTCTGAGTCACGATTATATCTAGAGTGTGCCTATCACACCACAGATCTAGACGGACTGCATCTAAACTGACTCAGCGGCTTCTTGACATCATGCCTCATGTCTTCAGATGTACATTTGGCCTGGCTCATTATCAGCTGTGACCGGGAAATACTGTCCGACTCCTCTGGTGCTCATGACAGACGGCCTCCACCGCCACAGAAGGACAGAGCAGAGAGGAGGGATTAGGGGGAAATTGACAACAGGATGAGGGAGGAAAGAAAAACGAGGGATGATGTCTTCTCTGTGAAATGTGCGGGATGTTTCGCAAGGTTTCTAAATATGTCATCTGCAGGAATGTCTTCCACAGTGTGTATATATATATATATATATATATATATATAGATGGATAGACAGACAGACAGACAGATAGACAGATAGATAGATAGATAGATAGATAGATAGATAGATAGATAGATAGATAGATAGATAGATAGATAGATAGATAGATAGATAGATAAGAACACAATATAAACAACTTTGTCTGTCTTTCTTCTAAGTACTTCTGTGTTCCTGTTCCCTTTTCTCCGATCTCACATTGGAAGTATATAAAAATATGATGCTGCAGACTAAAGTTCTGTTTGCCACCAGCTGTTCCTGTTCATGCATCAAGTTTCAAATGCGCTGTGAGAAAAGACTGAGTCGATTACGCACAGCGAGTAGATGATTAGACCATGATTGCAGCCAGTTACTTCCTGTGTTCCAGTGTTTCATGAGAAAAGACACACTGAGAGGTTCTATAAAGGCTGTGTACATAGTACATGTGTGTCTCTTTTAGATCTTCTCCTCTTCTACCTGCTGGTACAGCTTGGGGGGCTACAAATTTGATGTCGTCCCAAGAGAGGGTCATGTGTTATATTTGTGCTGGACCTTTTAATGTATTCACTCTTTATTGTTTATTTTTTCATTTATCCATCTAGTGTAATATTTCATATAAAAAGCCCTTCCAGGGACAGGTGTCGCGAATTAGCATTGGCTATAAACACTATGATACTGACATGGGATTGCTTCGAGAAGATAATCTATGTTCACTGTATCTGTCCCTACCCAATAAACTATAAATAAATAAATACATTTTGAGGAATCTCATTAAACCTCTCAAGAACAGGTCACATTTTTTTAAAAAATGAACATTTGATAAACCTTTTTCTCCAGTTTCTTTGTTTCCAGAAAGCACACAGGCTGAAGGACAAGGGGAGTTCACCTCACCATTCAGTTTGTTTTATTGCAAAATCACGGACATAATAAAGACAGAGAGATGTGTACGCTGGGACAAGAAACTCTCAGAGGATATTTTTCTCACTGTGTCTTATGTAGTTTCCTGTTCATGTAATTAAATCAAGAGAAGAATTGCATTACAGTTCAGTGTCTTTGGCAAATAATCAAATAGGTTTTATTGCTAAATCAGTGGGGACTATTGGCCACATCGATAACTATGTTTGTTTAACAACCTATAACCCACTGAAATACAAGGACGCCAAACACTGTGAGGCCTCCGCCTGGAAAAAGGGTCGGGCTGTCCGCAGAGAGCTCAGAGGGGCCTATACGATAAGAGGTTTCCCTCATACACATACACACACATCACAGCCATGGAAAACCAAAACAGACCCAACAGGAATGCGTATCCCGTGGGATGGCCGGTCTCTCACAGAGCCACGGGAGAACGCAAACCTAGACCATAACAACTCAGCATCTCAAGTTTTCTTTCCATTTATCACATTAGAGGCATATTTCACCTCTACAGGCCACAATAATGTCATTTATAGCCGCTTAGCTTTCAAGTCACAACACATGACGATGCAGGAAGCGGCTCAAAGAGGAATTTACTCAAAGCACATCATTTTCTGATTAAGGTACATTATTCTGGATAAAAGTGTTAATTTATTCTTGAATATTCGAGCTAATATTCAGTTACGGTGGATATTCTGATTCTGAATAAGGTGTTTAAGACCCAAAAATCTGATCAATACAGGAATATTCCAGCTGTTTTATGAAGATTTCTAGAAACTGGAGTATTGGCTTAATCTGGTTTTGGTTGTAAATGTATTTACAGAATGCTTGGAATAGGA